AAAACCTACATTTAACAACGGAGTCTTACTTGATACAAGAAAATATTCTCTTGTCAATTTCGAAAATCGTGAAATCTCCTATCGTAAAAAGGAGATAGGAAATCGACCTCGAAATATCTCAAAAATCTCGAATAAGCGTAAACGTAAAACTGAAACCGAAGCGCCACTACGTGAGGAGATGAGAAGGCGCGTGCGCAGCATGCGCGGCCGATCTCGTCTCGTAATAAATCATTTTGTTCTTAAACTAAGAGAAGAAACTTTTCAAACAGAATAAGATTCTCTTGTCCCGAGAGGACTTTCAAGCGTTCTCAAGACTAGAAATGATGTTCTTTCCATAAATTCTTGTTGTCTGTATTAATCTAGAATTTTTTTTTTTAATTGGTGAACTTCAACAACTAGTTGGAGAACTAGTTGCTAAAATTCACTAAATAATTTTCTCCGTGCAATTGCATTAAAGTGATGAATTAATTGAGTCATCATTGCGCTACTGTTTTTTTATCGAAAAAAATATAATTGATTTATTTACCAATATCTTGAAAACAAAAATTTGTTCTTAAGAAAAAAAAACATGTGGAGTTTGATTACAGCTCCAAGTAATGACTTGATTTTTCTATACCAATTCGACAGTTTTTGGTCACCCATCCGACTACCAGTACAGCTCACTGGTGCTTAACATTTTTTTGTGGATGGGATCGCTCTTTCCAATACGCTCTCCATCATCAGTACTGCTTCCCTCATGTGGAGTTACATCAAGAGTAGAGAAGAGTTTAATGAATTAATATTCTCATTTCAATCCATTTTGCATGCATTTCATGATTAAAGAATTGCACATAGAAATTTCTGCAGCAGTTTTGTGAAAACGAGAAAAAATAGTAACACCACGGCAACGCGCGGCGCGGCGCGTTTGACTGTTTCTTGGCAGTTTTTTAAAATTGACAGGAATTTATTAATTTCGTTTCAAATGTGCAATTTCCAGTTCCATACGTTTTACTAGATTTGCATGTTTCGCAGAAGATTACTACTGGTGGAGAAAAATTGAATACATGGAATTTTTTCAATTCGTATTGAGAGTCATGTGAAATGTTGAGGTAAAAATTGTAAAAGTTTTTAAATATCACATTCAAAGTTTGAGCAGAAAACATTGACGTAAAAAACGGTGAGGGGAAATTTATCTGTGGTGTAAGGATTTGAGAATTTCCCATAATTTCGAGTATTCACTTGAAATTGTACCTTCAAACGTAGAACGTCCGACCCTTTTCGTCGATTCGTTCCAATGGAAAATCCCTGAAGACTCGAAGCTCAAGTGCTTTTATTGCATTCTCAAGCTCGTTCAACGACATCGGATGAAAATTTTTCTCCAACTTCGCTGCACTTCCGAGAAATAACTAAACAAAGGGAGAAATTTCGACTACCCGAAGAGATATGAATTCAATACCTTGAGTGCTGACGATTCCCCCAGTGATTTGATGTTCACCTTTTGCTACACTTTATGCAGACTAAATTTAGACAGCAATTTTCTTTGTGTGTCTTGAACGAGGGAAGTTGACACAAGGAAAAGACGATGAAATATGAAGGGCTGAGTTACTGGTCCTATATAGTGTGATGTAACGATTTGAGAATTTCCCATAATTTCGAGTATTCACTTAAAATCGTACCTTCAAACGTAGAACGCCCGACCCTTTTCGTCAATTTGTTCCAGTGGAAAGTCCCCGGAGACTCGAGATTCATGTGCTTTTATTACATTCTCAATCTTCAACGACACCGCATGAAATTTCTCTTCAACTTCGCTGCACTTCCGAGAAATAACTAAATAAAGGAAGAAATTTCGACTACTCGAAGAGATATGAATTCAATACCTTGAGAGTACTGAAGATTACCCCGGTGATTTGATGTTCACCCTTTACTCCATATTATACAGACTAAATTTTGAGAGGAATTTTTTGAGAGCAATAGTTGACTTCAACATGAGGAACAGACGATGAAATATGAAGGACTGAGATACAAATTGTAGAATTTTTTAGATATTACATTTACGTTCTAAAAACTTCGAAGTGAAAAACGGAGAATGGAAATTTTACGGGTTGTGTGCAATTTAGCGTGAGTATTTCCGGAAAATTAGAGTACTCACAAGAAATTGTACCTTCAAACGTAGAACTCCCGACCCTTTTCGTCAATTAATTTCAATGGAAAATTCCTGAAGACTCGAGACTGGAGTACTTTTATTAGATTCTGAAACTTCTAGAACGACATCGGATGAAAATTTCTCTTCAACTTCGCTGCACTTCCGAGAAATAACTAAATAAAGGGAGAAATTTCGATTACCCGAAGAGATATGAATTCAATACCGTGAGAGTGCTGAAGATTCCCCTAGCGATTTGATGTTCACCTTTTACTCCACTTTATGCAGACTAAATTTAGACAGGAATTTTCTTTGTGTATCTTGAGCGAGGGAAGTTGACTCTAACATAAGGAAAAGACGATGAAATATTTAAATATCACCAAAAACTTCGAAGTGAAAAACAGAGAGTGGAAATTTATGGGTTATGTGTAGTTTGGTGTGAGAAGTTGAGAATTTCCGGAAATTTCGAGTATTCACTTGAAATTGTACCTTCAAACGTAGACCTCCCGACCCTTTGCGTCCATTCGTTCCAATGGAAAATCCCCGAAGACTCGAGATTCATGTACTTTTATTGCATTCTCAAACGTCTTCAATGACACCGAATGAAAACTCCTCTTCAACTTCGCTGCACTCCCGAGAAATAACTAGACAAAGGGAGTAATTTCGACTACCCGAAGAGATATGAATTCAATATCTTGAGAGTGTTGAAACCTCCCCCAGTGATTTGAAGTTCACCCTTTACTCCATTTTACACAGACTACATTTAGACAGGAATTCTCCTTGTGTATCTTAAACGAGCGACAGTCGACTTCGATAAAAAGAAAAGAGGGGAAAAGCAGCAGGGAGCAGCAATCTTCACAATAAAGTGAAACTGTAGCTTTGGTTTCTCAATTTATGAGAATGGATCAAAGAGAGAAAAGCAAGAATTTTATTATTCTCCTGATGATGTTGTATTTTTTTTTAAGAAGAAAAACAATTTAGCAGCACAATTAATGTCCAACGCGAACCTCCTACACGCCATGAATAAATTTTTCGTAGGATCTTCACCCAAAGCCTCCCCTCAACCGCTTCTATCACAAGATCGACGGAATGAGAGGCTTCACTCGAATAAAGTAAAAGGCTCCAATGGCAATCAAGCTTACACGAGTGCTCACAGAGATCCAGACATTGCATAACCTTCGGTAAACTGAATTGCATAATCCCGCGTAATTTACATCTCTTTGACGAAATTAATTGCATTACACTATAAATCGATCCGGCGATCCCGAACGGCATTCAAATTCATTAAGCATTAGCAAATTGCTGGGATAGCAGAGAAGACCTAGATGGCTATATACTCGGATGAATAAGAAAATGGTCTCTCAAAGTTGGAGGTATAACATCGTTTCACCGACTCGGCCAACTTCCAATTTGATAGTTTCGAAGTCACTTGGCCTCTCCCAGTGTCAGCACTAGTTGGGTTGATGTAATTGATGATCCTATCGAATGGAATCTGCACATTCTGCTATTGCCAACGTTTTCCTTGATTATATCCCAAAGTTTCTGTTTGGTAAATTGGAATTCATTAAGGCGATTGAATATTTTACTTACAGATAACTGTAAATTTTAGGGAGTTGAATAGAGATGCTGACCATTATTCAAGTGAAAAACAAGGCGAACTGGGAGACACTTGACCTGAATTCGTAATGACGAATGTTCCTGCACGAGACAAGTCGTTTCGCGAGTTAGTTTAATGGTTCTTTTACTAGGTTTTTCATTTTTAGATTCAACTCGAGGATTCGCGAATTCTTTTAGAGTACTTTATCAAGCTTGGGTGTTCTTGGTGAAGTCTAAGTGAATGCGGAAGAAGTTGAATTCTTTTCTGAGAGCTCGATTGTTTTGAGGAGTTTATGTGGAGGTTGAGATTCTCATTATTATTGATAGCAATCAATTTGTTAATCTCAGCATAAGTTAGCCGTAAAATCTGGAGAAGTTTTAATTGATGATGTAAGGAATAATTATCTTTCAAGAAGGTTGGACGGAACAGTCTCTGCAATGAAGGCAATGACTTATGTAATTCATTCCGAGACTATTATGAATTGTTCAAGCATCAAAGGTAAACTTACTTTGAAACCTTCAACCTGTTCTCTTTTAACTAGGTTTTTACTTCCTAGATTCAAACCGAACCTTTTCCGAATTCTTTGAGAGTACCGTACCAGGCTTGGTTGTTGTTGGCGAAGGGACGATTTTTTAAAGTTGACTCAAGGGCTAAGATTCTCATTATTATGGAGACCAATCAATTTGTTTGATATTTTGGACCAGATTTGATTAATGATGTAAGGAAAAGCTACCTTTCGAAAAGTTCGGCGCAACCAGTTTTTGCAATAAAGACAACACCTCTTATTCAATTGATTTTGACACTATTGTAACTTGTTGAACCGTCAAAAACAAACTCCATTTGATCTCATCAACCGCTCATTTTTCATAATAAATCAAGACGATGTGCGAAAAGCGTCCTTCAACTCTCCTAAAATATTCCCCTAAGTGTCAAAATAAAATCACCCCAAATTCCTAATTCTCCCACGTACCTCATACCTTCACCTTCGCATGAAAACTCATCCCCCGAAAGCGTCTCTTTGAAATTCTGATGGTAAAGTTTCTCCTCGGGTGTCCCCAGTGCTCTCTGCGGCATAAAACTTTACCCCTAAGGAGAACGTTGAACTCCCGTTTTAGCCTCGACTTGGTGTGAGTGCAAGGGGAGAGATTAATTATGACGCTGAATAGAAATCGTACTCTTCAACACACCCACACATTCACAGCCACCCTCCATAACTCATATACGTACATGCTAAACGCAATTAGGGTAATGGTTCAACATGTAGATGCTGAAGTATTTACTTACACGAGGTAGTTGTCTTGATCCCATGCGACTATTTCAGTGACAACAAATGTGCCGGAAGTTAGTGCACGAGTGGTACGGCTTGCTGTATTTGTCACCATCACCAAGTGCGACCAGTAGTCATTGTCCGATTGCTGTTTCTGGGGTAGAATAAGGATGAAAGTTTTGCCATCTCTGCTGAAGTGCGGTGCTGCATATTGTTCCACCCAACCGTGCTCCTCTCGATAGTCGAGTGCCTGAAAAACATTGGATATTGTCAATGTCAATAACAACAGTGAGCTAACGGAAATTGAGGTTGTGGAGGGAAAACAACGGAGCAAATTACTAAGTGTCTATGGCAATGTTCTAGTTGGGATTGGAGGGGAAGGTACATCGAAATGTCTTGAACATGTACAAACCGTTGTGTAGACCGAGTTCTCAACGTCGTACAGATGGAAATACGCGTGGTTTTGGACTCTGTTCATCCACGTAGCTGACACGATGGTCTCGGTGGGGAAGGCAACCGCCGCTAGAATTCTCTCGGAGTTGGCCAGCTGTGGGGGATGCTCAATCTCGATGAGGCTTATGTTGTTGCCATGGCTTTCTACTACTTTCTCAAGGTCCACATAGAACAACTTGACGGTGGGATTTGTTGTGCCACTCTGAAATTGAAAGAAGGTATTCAGCAAGGAGAAAAAAAGTTCTTGTTTTCGGGATAAAGATGAAGTAGATGCGCATATGCTTGGTCCTACGACTACGGCCGTTCAAATGTTGTTATCTTAGATAGATAACTTATCTATCACATTTTAAGAATTTTTTCAGGGTTAAAAAATTGTTGAGAGTTAAATAGAGTTGAAGTTATTAATTGAGGTGATAAGGAAAGTTGCAGACGGCAGAAAACAGAGAATCATTGGAATGTGAAAGGGATGACACTTATTCACATCGATTGTTGCTGTGATAGAGCGCATTCTTAAGCTCATTTCCGCTAGAAATCATTCTAAATACTAGTTTCGGGACTCCTTGTTGTTAGTTCAAAGCTTCATGTCAATCAATTCTCCCATTTAGCAAAAATAAAGCAATGCAGTAACAACGGAAGGATAATCAAATTGCGTATTTGCCTCATCTCGAATTTTGAATGAATACTAATATTTCATCAAATCACGTATCGATCTCAAGTCCTACGTGGGCAGAAACTTAGTTCATGACGACATTCATGTTTTCCAGCCACTCATAGTAGCGAATACTTCTCGCCAAACGGAAATGAAGCATGAGTTATGTAGGTATTCAAAATGTATTTGACATGAACCGAGTTGACAGAAAATGGTATTTCAGTCGAGTGAACCAGTGCAAATCGAACTTCATACCTGTCGACATTACCTTCAACTTCCTCAGAAGGAGTAAAGGATCTTGAAACTCTTGCAAGCACACAAAAACTGTCTCAACTTATCATGAATGAGTTGAGCGGGAACTTCACAGAAATCGTCAATATGTAGTAGATCGTAGATCACGTTTTCACTTAAATTTGGAAAGAGTTCGTCAGATGTATGCAATTTCGTGAGAATATTCAAAGGAGACTCATCAACCATTTCCCCTGGCATAATGCTCTTTATGGAGAAACGTGAACATGGAATCTCATTAAAAATAAAAATCTCTGACAAGTCTTTGTTTCAAGACTTGTCGCCAGCAATCATTGGAGTTTCTCATGGACATAATGCGGATATAACGAAGGGATTTACTTCGGACTTGATTTCCCGTGTGCAGAACCAGGGCTTCATTAAGATTGAAATCTAAAGAATTAATTCATCCTGAGAATTTCCGCTCAACAAAATTTAACGATAGTATTCCATGAATTGCGAACTGCACGGAGAAAAAACATTTTTTTTGCCAAATACCCATTTACTTGAGAGGAGAATTTATTTTTTCAATACTGTATTTCTCCAGTCGACTCATTCTCAGACAATTCTCATTAGGTTTCGCTTATGACAATTATATTGCCCTAGAAGATACTCATGTTGGTTATAGTCTGGAGTGAACTCCTTCAATAATTAATCACATTAAGAAATTAATCGAAATTCTTCCTTCTAGAAAATAAGAATTTTAGGAAAAATGAATAACCAATGGAGGAGTTCATCCAAGATCACGTACAACATAGTTATCCTCTAGAGGAATATGATTGTCATCATTGAAACCTAGCCTTGAAAGTAGACTCGTCTAGGAATGACTCAAGTGGAGAAATAGGATTTTGAAAAAAAATACTTCTCAAGTAAATGAATATCTGGCAGAAATAATTTTTTTCTCAATATAGTGAACGAGCGCTTCGCGCCTGTCGCTAGATTAAATGATACTTTTTTATTTTATTTTATTTCAATTTCTATCTTCACAATTAGATTAATTTAATTGTATTCATTCTTATTCATATTATATATATATATTTTATTTAATTCACAAGTTGCAACATTGAATGAAGAGGAATTATGTTAAAGATCGATAGAAAGTGTTTTTTTTGTGATCAAGATAAAAACACAAAACAACAGTCATTTGAAATTTCATTCGGGTAATAGAAAAATCTTTCCATGTACTCCTGAAAATTTTTTAAATCCAGTTTTCCATATTATGAAAAGGAGATGAAAAAAGGATCCGAAAGGGATCATCGGCTAGAAAATGCTTTTTTTTTATCCCGGCGGGAACTTCGAATCACTTTTTTTTAAAGTATTTTAGAAATATCAATATTTCGGGAAGAAGAGATTCAAAAAATGCCAAAAAAGTGGGCGGGAAGAACTAAAAAAATTAATTTTTCAATTTCTCCGAAAAGATTTAAGATCGATATATTTCTTCTAATAATCCAAGAATACTCATAAATACGATTTCTATCCTTGTCTTTTGATAGAATGAATAGAATAAATGACAGAAATTGAGAATTGGAAACTACAAATTTTATCGGATTATTATTATTATTATTAACATTATTACGTAACAATAATGTAATAATGATAATATTAATAATGTTATTCTCCGCATTAATCATAACTTCAATATGCAAAAGCCACGAATATGTCACAGTAAAATTCAAAATTAGAGAAATGACATTGTAGCGGAGGTGGATGAAGTTGAAGTAGCTCTTTAATGGAAGGATGACCATCAACGGGGACTTGGGTGTTGTGCATTTTCCGGAGGTCATTACAGCGAGAGTAATACAATCTGAGACTACGGTTCGCCTCGCAGAGACAAAGAGAAGCCCGCCAACCGACACAAAAGGAAGGGACATAAATAGAAAGTTTGATTATATATGAATCCCAATTTCACTCTTCACTGAGCTGTTTATTCCAAAAAGACAATTCTCCCGCGAATATCATAAAAGCAATATTCGAGAGGTGCGAGTATCACATCGGAGGATGGAATAGACTAGAAATTGAATGAAATTGCTGGAAAGGGGAGTTTTCCCGGGTCTTTTCTGAAGTGGTATGAGGGCTTCAGGGAGAGCCTTGGGAGAATCGAAGTACAATGTTGGGGATGATCAATATTATCTGGAGACTTCGTAAAAATTTCCGACGCAAATTGGTTAATTCTCACAAAAATAAAAAATGAAGTAGATCCCCGACGTTGTTTGACTTTGAGTATGGCTCAAAATACCTATTTTGCTTTTAAGAATTGATAAAAAAAAATCAAGGGAATAAAACGTGACGTAATTATAAACATTCAAATTTTTCAACTTTTTTTTTTGAAATTTACCATCGTACAGAAGAAAAATACAAAGTTATTTGTTACTGTAGGAACACACACTCATAATTTACGAGTAGTAAAAATTGCGAGTGGGTATAGCAGAAAGTGGTAGAGTGAGAGTAAAATCATTTGATTAGAAGGTGAGTTATGGAAGAAAAAACGAAACATACGAAAAAAATTATCTTTGCCGCAGGGGTTATAGAAAAATTCTGGAAAAAACGACTGAAGAGTTTTTTAAGCTCTTAAATCCAGGAAAAATGTCCGCTCACTTTGGAGAGGGTGAGGATTAAAGATTGCGCGATTCGGTATGCAATACCTCAACGCTCTGTCTATATTATAGAAATCCAAATCGACTTCTAGTGATAAAAATTTGGTACTCGAAATTAAGACTCCGAAATTGAGGGTCATGAGGGTCAGAATAAGGGTTATGAGGGTCAGAGAAAGGGTCACGAGGGTCATAATAAGGGTCACGAGGGTTAGAGTAAGGGCCACAAGGGTCAGAATAAGAGTCACGAGGGTTAAATTAAGCGGCAGGGTTAAATCAGGGATCAGTAAGGGTCCAAATAAGGAACATGGGGGTCAAAAACCGAGGGTCAGAAACTAAGGATGACCAGGGTCAAAATAAGGGTCACTAGAGTGTTATAATGACAGTCAGATTAAGGATCGAAATGAGGGTCACAAGGGTCAGATTAAGGATCACCGAGGTCACATTAAGGATCCAAATAAGAGTCATGGGAGTCAGAAACGAAGGGCCACAAGGGTCAAAATAAGGGTCTCAATATCCCTCTACATTGTAAAAATCCGAATTGACTTTGCTGATGAAAATTTGGTGCTCGAAATTAATGGTCAGAAATGAAGGGTCAAAATAAGGGTCACGAGGGTGAGATTAAGGGTCACAAGAGAGGTATGAGGGTCAGAATGCGGTCCACGAGGGTGAGATTAAGGGTCACAAGGGTTAGAATAAGAATCATGAAGGTCACATGGGGGTTAGCAGGCGGAGCGAGCAGGGGGCGTAACCCCCTAGTATATTACCAATATTGCAATATTCTCCACATGCAATGTATACTATCCGAGCATAAGTAATTTTTCCACGAGCGCATTGAAATTCCGAGTGCTCTGATAGTCATAACAACCTTGGAACAGTCGTTTGAACGACATTTATCTAATTTAGCTTGAGGACTATATTCATATGCATACGTGAGAAAATTCCTCTCCACGCACGTCGAGAACGCGAACGTTCACGATCGTATTTCAGCATAAACAGCGAGCTCGTAGGAATGGATTATACTGCTCGTAGCATGAAGAAGGGAATAGAGTGCGGGGTTGTTCGTCTCCCTGCGCACAGACAGAAAACGTGAAAGGATTCAGTTACTGTTAACGAGCCTTCGCAAGTATTAATGCCATACGTTAACTATCAATGGATCGTGTTAATAGTTAAGCAGCCTCATCAACAGAAACTATATCGTTCTATCAGTGCGGGTAGTTTCTAATCCTCACTATTCGATTAACGCTGCTACTGAGGATAGCGTTCAATATAGAATTTTTCTCCAATCCGCTGTTGATCGAGGTGTTGATTTAGAAATATTTTTTTCATAGATACAGTTCTCTGTAGAACGAATGGATTTACCGGAAGGACAAATAAATGTCTCATGAGAACAATTACTACTACGAAAATTATCATATTTTCGTGGAAACTTTCTTATTATCTACAAGTAGATTGATTCAACATGACAAAAGACCTCTTCATGGGAACATATAATTCTTCGGCAAAACTAATTTTTTCTCTCAGTGTGAATTAGACGCTATTAAAAATTCCAACATTTTTAACTTGAAATTTCGCCAGTCATTTCCTAATAGTGCACCCAAAATTTGTAAATCTGTTACTAAATTTTCGAACTTTTATTCTCGTGTATTTTTTTATTTTTATGACATTGTTTTTTTTACTCTAGAGAAATAAATTCCGTACGAATTTTAAAAAAAGCATCCGAGAATTTTAATCGCAACATACGCATAACATGCTTTTCCCCCGTCCATTCAACCTGCGACATCCTATCTCATAAAAATGCTCCTTGATGTTGACAGTAATTTAATATGAACGATACGATGTTAAATGTTGTCAGGTTTCAAAAGAAAGTGCCTATTAAAGATGCTTTATGGCGTGTTCCCTTCGTCGTGATAAAGTCTGCAACGTTTTGTCATTTTATGAATTTTTTTCCCTACTTTATCACGGTAATGTGGTTCTCAAGGATGTAAAACTAATCAAAAAATGGTCTCTAGCGTGTAGCATTACTATGGTTAGAAAAGTGTTCTCGTATAAGTTGAGATAAGGTGTTGTCCTCGAAAAAACAAGGAAAGAGTCTCAGTTACGAGCATCAGAGAGCTCCTTAAAGCTCAAAAACACGAAACTTTACGAGGTAGGCTATGTGCAACGGGAGGCACCAGGAGACTTTATTAAACCAGCCCCTCTTAGGAGGTAAGAAGAGTTGTGACTCAGGCAGGAACAAGTGTACAACATTTTTGTTGTTTTTACGATATTCGCAAACAAAGGGATAAAAAACAACGCCTCGAGAGGAGAGAAATTGAACGTACAGTGAATGGAGGCAATAAATACATACACTGAGAAAAATTTCAATGGTAATTTTAACTACAAGGGAACTCTCATAGAAATTATATTTACAGTAACAATAAACTTTGTAGATTAAACTAGGATTCACCGTTCAATTTAGCGTGTAAAATAGTGTCATCAACATTATGATGTAATTTTCACTCTAATGTAATAGTTGAATCTACAATGTTTATTGTTACCGTAACTATTATTTTTTTGACAATTCCCTTGTAGTTGAAATTACTATTGAAATTTCTCTCAGTGTAGAAGAAAAAAGTGTATCATACTCTGAATATATTTACGACTCGACACGTGTTGTCGATGTATATTTTTCTCATTTACGATGTGAGGCCGAGCGAAATGGCCAAGTGTGAAATGTTTTACGAGGAGGGAATAAAACTCTTAGGGCATTCGGAGAGTTGGACGTTTGCGATTGCAGAGGAATTAGAGGGCATGAAAATACCAGACTGTTGCCGACATAAAAACAACTGTGAAGAAAACCATGCGAACTATAAGAAAACAGATTAAATGTTTTTTTGAGGGAAATTATTTCATGATGGAGTTACGAATTATGTTTTTAATGGTTTATGTGTGCGATGATGGAGTGTATGAATGCGTGAAACGCATAACTTTCCCATCTAAAACGAAATATTAGGGGAGCTGGTGCATGTACCAACCAACCATCTAAGGGAAATGAGTCTTTTTTTCCAGCCTCGCACTCTACAAGGAGTCATAAACGGTTCGAATGGGTTGTTCGAGGTGTTTTCTCGAAGATGTGAAGAGGACAGATTTTTTATTAACATTACACATATTTAATTATGTAATTCAATTGCTATCGGCCAAGGAGCGATGGAATCGAACTTTGAGGGTAATACCGCCCGGCATGCGTTCAATATCGCTCACCTTGTTTTCATGAGTTTTTTGAGCAATGCAGACCAACTGTTATAATTTTTCCTATTTTCATCCTTCGTTTCCATTCTTTGGCTCCATTTTGAGAAAGATTTCACGTAGATAATAATAAATTATCCTGAATTTACCCGATGTTCCAGTGGCCACCGACTACCCCAAACACCCGAGTGGAAATTCTGTTCAGGTCTCGATCAGAAACTGATCAAGTCCGATCCGAAATTCTGATCAGGCATGTTACGCCTCTGCCTTATGTTTTTCCACTTGGGTTTCTCCGCCCTCCATCATTAGGCATTAATTAAATTTTATTTTTTGAGAGAAAAAATTAGTAACTTTCTAGCCGGGAATCGAACCCGACCGGGAATCGGACCTCCCAATGTCGTGTCCTCTTACCATCTGAGCTACCAGGACACTTACGAATTTCACTCTCAAATTGACTCATACCCGAGTGGAAATTCTGTTCAGGTCTCGATCAGAAACTGATCAAGTTCGATCCGAAATTCTGATCAGGCATGTTACGCCTCTGCCGTATGTTTTTCCACTAGGGCAATCGCGCTGTCACTCAACCGCCCTCTAGCTGCAGAGTCTAGCAGCCCTATAGAAACCCTATAGAAACCCTGGCATTACTCACAAACTCTGGGCGGAATTACCCACAGACACGGAGGGTGATAAAATAGCCAATGATAACTGATGAAGATATTTTTCCGCTATCGAAACGGTCGCAATAGATGTGGAAATGTATAACGAAAATATATTTCGCACTCCATTCAATTATGGACCGACTGGAAATTTGAAAAATCTCAAATTCTGGGGTCGAAATATTTTAAGAATTCGGTAGGAAATGATTTGTTTTTTTTAACGATGTTTACAGGGTAAAAAGTTGAATAATGATTTAATGACTGATTACATTTTTCTTTGGAACTGGACATTTTTCTTTAGATATTCGTGAAGCAGAAATATATTAATGTATACTAGTTGGAGAAAGAATTTGAGATTGACAGCATTTTTGAAGAAACAGAATCCCGGACCCAAACATATTATTTATTCCATATAAAGAGTTTTCTTATCTTAATAAAAATTCCATTGTTAAATGAAAGAAAAAATGTATTTAATTAAAATAAAGAAATTCTCTTGATATAGGGGAGGGTGGGGCAAAACGGCCCCCCTTCAATTGTCAATAACTTGTGAATGACATTGTGAAAATTCCCAGTTTCAACTTCATTTTGAAGATAATTTTTCATTCTCCAAAACGAGCTCTAACTCATCCCAATCGGATTATTGAATCGGAAAATATTGGCGGTTGAAGGGGGGCCGTTTTGCCCCATCCTCCCCTAAGAAAAATCTTCATTTATTAATAATGGACAATTTCTTTGGGTCAAATAAAGATTCATTAATGACAAAAAAATCATTTATTTAATAAGAACCGAACCTCAAATAAAGAAAAAAATTTAATTTGCGTAAACTTCATTTCGTACAATTTAAATTAACCTATTTGTTTGACTCAAATAAATCATTTTTCTGAGTGTCTTTACTAATTATAAATTTCGTTCTCAGGGCGGGAGACTTATTTTCATTCTAACCGACGAAGATGTGCCCATGAAAATGGGCCACTCATTAATTAATGAAAAACACGGCAATTTTTTCCCTCACTCAATGGAATTAAAACTCGGCGGCCGCGACCGCGTGGTGCGTTCAAGTTTAATCAGACTTCATGCATAAGTAAATTACATTTAGGTGGTGAGGAGAAAGTGGGATATACGGTTGTAGTAGGCTAAGTTGAAAAGGCGCCGTTGGTAATCTACCGCAGGCAAAAGTTCCAAACATCCTAAAACGATCTTCACAAATTCTCGTTCCTACCAGTTTCCACTTCTTGTTTCCGTGTTTTCTTCCGTTTTATGTTGCTCTCCAGGTTTTATCCGTTTCGACGGTGAATTTTGGCCCTGAGGCTTCACAAATTCATGGAAAAGAATGCGGATTAGGAGTGCAGGGGGTCCGAAAAAATATTTGATTCAAGTATATTTTATATTCGATGGGGAATGGGTGTTTCAACTCGAGGATGATTATTTCGTATCAGCCCGGGTTGTACCAAGCGCTCTCAAGTGTAATATAAGGGTTTCCTATTTACTAAAGATGAAAGAAACGTGAAGTTGTTTTATATCGAAATATCTCGAAACTGCCTGACCGTTAATCCGTAATTCTGATTGGTCAATAAGTCACGTGAAGTAGTCGCTGAAAAAAATCCCTCGTATTTTCCAATTCTTCAAATGCCTAAAAGTGTTTCTGCGTCATATTTTTTATGTTTTCATGTGTGAAGTTTATTTTTATATCAAAACGTCTTTGTATCTAAATTGCTTAATTGTTGATCATGAGAAAAAAAGCTTAATTTTTCTACTTTTTTTCAACTCACGAAGTATTCTTCACTTCCCAAATGTTAATTTTTTCATATTTATAATGCGCAAAAATGATCAATTCTTGCTTCTCAGATTTTCATACACAAATTCTAAACTCTACGAAATTCATGAAAATTCTTCGGATTCCCAAGTAATTCGAGAAAAATCTCTGAAGATCTACGATTACCTGGAAGACTGTGAAATTTTCCAAAGAATTCACGAAATTTTTCCAGTTTTCTAGGTAATCAATTCATAACTCTTTCCTCATTTGTCAAACAACTACAGATTTTAATCTCATTATTTTAAAAAGTAATAAAGAAGAATTAATCGAAGATTAAAAATTATTCATTGACGTTTCACTCGTCATTCTCTTAATTCTCTTTAGGTGGTGGTTATTGTCCTGCATTCTATTTCTCATATTAAGAATTACTATGCTGCCACATCAGAAACCAATTTTTTTTATTGGCAAAACCTAATTTTATCATTGCGATTTAAATGCAATTCATAATCGAGTGAAATTTAAACACTTTATACTTCAATTTTGCCACTTGATTTATATCAAGAATATAAACTTCGAATTTCCATTATCGATTAAGTGAAATTCCATTTGAGCCAAACCTCGTTACGTTTACCACTCGTAACAATGTGGAGAAAACGAGGAAAACTGAGGGATTGAGGTGAATAGGGGGGAGAGGGAATTTAAATTGTATTTTTCGGATTACCCGATCGCGTTTGTGGTTTACCTTGGGATAACGGACGGTTATCGATGACGTGTACTGGAACGAGAGGCTGCCTGGGTATCCGTAGAACGGGATATTCATTATCGGGGTCTTTGAGTCGTCAAAGTATCCGAACGCCATTTTTTTGCCGCTCGGTGAGAACCAAAGGGCCTTGTTTGAACTGAAAATCTCCTCTGTAACATAAAAAGGAGAAGATTATCGGTATTTTTGTTCGAGGAATTTTCTCAAATTACAGCGTCTAGCTGTCGTTGACTCATTTTTATTCTGGAGTGAATGATGAGGACATGAAGAGAATATTTATGCTCAATTTGAGGATGACATAAGGACATGAAAGAAAAACGAGCAGGGGACAGCGAGCATATGACAACGCGCCATATGACAGTAATTATGTCATTCAGTGATGTCTTATTTTTTTTCGCCAGTAATACATTGATGACGGGCTTCCGAATGGTCTGAAATATTATGAAAGTTTATAGTTTTATAGCACTATCTAGCAGTAAAAATTTCAAATGTTTACTGCTACCTCTATGGGTGTTATAAAAATTCCAATGTTTCGAATACATCGTGAGAATGGGTATACGTATTTTCTGTGTAAATTTCAAGTTGATATCTGGATTTCTACACAAGCTAGAGTGATTACAAAGTTTTTTTATAAAAAAAAAGAAAAGGAGGAACAGACTGTTAGAATAATTTGGCTGATTTTTCCGGAAAAACACTTTTAAAATTTATCGCCTGAATTTTCCGTGCCAATTCCTGGAAATTGGTATCGTGTTTAATGTCAACTGAAATTGCAGGAAATATTGTCACTGAAAAATCAACTATTCCATTGATTTTCTGTTCGAATGATCTGAAAATCAATAAAATACTTGATTTTTCAGTTACATTATTCCGTGAAAATTCCGAAAATTCAGGGAAAAATTGAAAATGTAATTTTGTTTCTGAATATTCATGTTCCATTGAAAATTCAATCAAGTTGTGAAATTTCCATCTCACTCGCACTGAAAGCTCATGACTTCCCTTGAAGTCTACTTAAAACTTGAAATTTCATAACCATTTTTCCTCTAAATCCGATTCAATGCCACTCTCATGAGAATTGCCATCAGATTTTCCATGAAATTTCAAAAAAATTCCAACAGTGAAGACCTTGAATTCGATTTAAGGGGGAAAGTCAAAGTAATTTCAAGTTTCTCTGAAAATTCAAGTGAAGTTCCATTTTTTTACCGGTAGGAAGACGAAAATTTCCTACTTTACATGAATTTTCAAATGTAAATAAATATTTACTACCAAAATCCCTTAAATTTTTAAAGAATTCCTTCAAAATTCTGGTAATTCCCGGAATTTTTGAACGAATTCCCCGAAAAATCAAAGGAATCTGGAGCTCAAGGAGAGATTTCTCTGCATTTTCCCGATTTTCCATCAATTCCGATCACTGGCCAACGACAATTGAATTACATAATTAAAAACGTTTAATGTTAATAAAAAATTTGTCCTCTTCATATCTTCGAGTAACCACCTCGAAAAACCCATTCTAACCGTTTATGACTCCTTGCAGAGTGCGAGGCTCGAAGAAAAGACTCATTTTCCTCAGGTGAGTGATACATGCACCAACTCCCCTCATCACCTTATTTGAAACAAATAGAATATATCCTAGACTCCAGCATGCAACTACTTCAATCATAATGTTTTGCGTTTTATTAAGAATGAACATTCGAAAGTTGTGGAGGGGAAAGTTTACGAGTGTGCCCTCTCCACCCGACGCTTCACCCCTTCATATCTTTGTGGTGGTCGTCAGAGAGTGTAAATGAGAAAAAGGGACAATCAGGTCAGGCCCTTACAAAAGAGTAAAGGAATGCTAAAGAGGGTTGAGATGGAAATTCGTCAAAGCTCGGTGGTAAAAAATGAGAAAGAAAACCTGACGATGTTCGTGAAGCACGAGAAGAATGTTGGTGCGCAGATAAGAAAATGAAGAAAAAAACGGGGGAAAATATCTAAGGCTGACTCTGAGAATGCTCTGATGGTGCCGAGAGGAGGAGAATAAAAGGAGACAGGGTTGAGGCGGCTCTTTGTAGGCTACAGGATCGTGGCATTTTCCGAGGTCCAAGCTACAGTTGAGTTTAAGTTGCTTTTCAAAACGAAGAAAAGAAACTCTTTTTCTATACTTCTTTCGGTATGAGATGACACTGTGTGGTCAACCGTTCCGGATATCACTATCTTGAGTGGAATGATGAAAGAGAGAAAAACGTAAAAAAGGTATGAAAAAGTGATGAGGTAATATAATACTTCTGGTGGAAATATATCTCCGGTCGCCAGGCGATTTTTTGTGGAGAAATTGAGTCAGTTTATCTTGAGATACAGCTGTGGTCAGGAGAAATGTACATTCGACATTTTTATTACACTCCGGATGGGCTCGTCCTGACGTGCAATCGAATTGGAAATCAAAATCTCTAACTTACATTGAAATTTGATCACACAGAGAAAAATATTCAATAAAAATTACGTATCTTTCCGTAATTTTTATCTGAATCTCCTGTGAAAAATTACGATAACGCCACTCAAATTTTCTGAGTCAATTTAGTAATCGGTGAGTGAATTGTGATTTCGTAATTTTTACGGAACATATCTCTCCGTGCAGTCAAGGAATTTTATGATTTTTATGAGTCAGTCGTATGAATAAATCCCTAGTAATAATTATCGTTATAACAAGTGGATAATGGCATTTTTTAAATAAATGAGTATAGTAATTGGTGCTAACAAATTAGCGATTTGCTTCCGAATGGGTTTTCTTTATTGAAATTCTTATTTCACTATTCTTTTCTTCTATTTTGACGTAGATACGTCAATGGTTTCGTTTTGAGGGGTCATTCGGTAATAAATGCTTATGCAGCCGCGCCATCTATCGGCGATGCTGACTGTCGATACATTACCAACCGTCGATCGATCGCTAAGATACCGACCGGTTGTTAGTCATAGAAATTTCCAGTGCAGAAATTGGGCTCGCTAAATAAGAAAACGCCACCTAGGCTCTAAGGCACACGCGCACTCACACACACAACGCAACCAATTTTTGGGTTTGTGTAGGCGCGTATATGAGCGCCTCAGAGCGACCATATTTACGCAAAACAGCGCCCTCAACGGTATTTAGCGAGCCCAATTGTTAGATTCAAAACTCCCTAAAAAAGGCGGATCGGCACGCTCCGCCGTCAGTCGTAAATTGGCAATCAAGGAGTTAACATCATATAAAGTAAAGAGTGTAAATATCTGATGCAGTGGTAAGGTCAGTCTAGATATTGACATGGATACGTCTATGTTTTCAATATGGGGGGTCATTTTGGGAAAACGGTACTTATGTGCAGCGCCATCTGTCGGAATTCTAGAAAATTCTAGATATTTCGAGGTAATTCGAGAAGTTTCTAGAAATTTCGAGGAAATTAAGGGAGTTGTAGAAAATTCGAGGGAATGCAAGGAGTTTCTAGGAAATTCGAGAAAGAAGGAAAGACCATGGACGTATCCACGTACAATTACAACTGCATCGAAAATACAGTCGCCTGCAATTTTTTCTATTTAGTTGCACTACCATAAAAAGTTGGAAAATTAAATTGGAAGGATTACAAAGCTTCCATTTGGAAGCACAAACATTTCATAACAAAAAAATTGAATTTATAATTGTGTCCTCTCTATCTGATTTTTACATGGGACTACGTGTTCCCTGTGTAATTTCCTCTCATAACCGGATGAATGAAAAGTTCATTAAAAGCGCGCCAGCATCAGTAACCCGAGTTGAAGTGTAACTTCAAAATTAGACACTCCCCCAATTTAATTATTGTTACACTGAGGGTGAAATTGTCAATTCTGCGACAGCGAGCCATCTGCGTTAATTATGACCGTGTGCGTGAGACACAGCGTAACGTTCCTCTTCTTGGGTATGAGAATATTATAACCCAGGAGTGGCGGGTGTATATTGTGCCCTTGAGGAAAGTCAAACTTGGAGATCCTCTTAATAAAGTCGGAAGTGGGAAATTTTCTGCGATAATGGCTGACACTTGAGATTTGATGAGTTTATTAAAGCCTGAGTTCACGAGGAAATCACCATAAGTACTGATAGATAAAACGCATAGTCTAGGATTTGATGGGGTACACGGGGAGAATATTGAATAAAAATTATGTTTTCAGCTGTGCACGTATAGCGACATCGAATTGGTCAAAACCGTAGCGACAACACCATCTTTCAAACAGTGACATAGGAATGAACAAGTTATAACTATAGGGGAGCGAGTGTCTGTACCGCTCACCGGGTAATAGAGCCCATCAGTATTTCTCAGGACTGACTGCGAAAAATGTTTTTTTCTTTTTTTATTATGAAAATATCTGATAACAACAAGTAATTTCAACAGAATTTGTCAATTTTCAACCGTACAAACATGTTTAAAAAAATCCAAATCATTTCCTACTGAAGATTTCGACCCCAGAATTGAAGATTTTTCAAATTTCCAATTGGTCCGTAATTGAATGGAGTGCGTAGTATATGTTCGTTATACATTTCCACATCCATTGCGACCTTTTCGATAGCAGAAAAATATATTCATCAGTTATTATTGGCTATTTTATCAGCCTCCGCGTTTGTGAGTAATTCCGCCTAGAGTTTGTGGGTAATGCCGCCCAGGGTTTCTACAGGGCTGCCAGACGCTACAGCTAGAGGGCGGTGTGTAACAGCTCGATTGTTTACGGTAATCGGTGGCCACCGGAACATCGGGGAAATTCAGAATAATTTATTATTATTCACGTGAAATCTTTCTCAAAATGGAGCCAAAGAATGGAAACGAAGGATGAAAATAGGAAAAATTGTAACAGTTGGTCTTCATTGCTGAAAAAAGTAATGAGAACAAGGTGAGCGGTATTGGACGCATGTCCGGCGGTATTACCCTCAAAGTTCGATTCCATCGCTCACTGGCCGATGGCAATTTAATTACATAATTAAATATGTTTAATGTTAATAAAAAATGTGTCCTCTTCACATCTTCGAGTGAACACCTCGAAGAACCTATTCTAACCGTTTATGAATCCTTATAGAGTCCGAGGCTGGAAAAAGACTCATTTCCCTCAGGTGGGTGGTACATGCACCAGTTCCCCTGAAGTCAGCTGTTGTAAACGAAAAGGAACTTTTCAGAGCTCGTGC